ACAATATTCTAACACGTGTCAGTTTACTCCCGTACCCGCCATTTGTACGTCATCGGGCAGTTTTTTCGAGTTCGCGTGTTGCCTTGAGCGGTGGCGCACGTGGATTTCAGTGCGAAGAGAGAGGGAAACTTTCCAAGATAACCCGTCGCGGCAATGACCTCAGGTGAAAGTCGCGAGCAAATGCCGTCCAGCGGTCTACCCACGGCGCCTCGCGAGCATCGAACGGTGGCCAACTTCACCGAACCCTCCACACCGCCAGGCAGCACTGCTCGTTGGATGCCTTGAAACTGGCCAAATTCATCAGGGTATAAGATTTGTTTTACTACAGAGTTACGAACTTGTATTGGAATTATCATCAGCTAGATCCTTGGTTAATTTACAACACATTATTATGATTTAGTTAGAAATGAGTAGGTTGGCGAGAAATTCTTAGGCTTGTTCTACACGTGTTTACCTTCATTTTACAATTAACCCATCTTACAAATATTACATTGCTTTTCGTTGTTGGAACTCTTCTTTTACTCACGACCCGTTGTCTTAAGTACTCTTTAACTTATCCTCCAATGTTACTGATTTCGCAGACACCCACTGCGTCGTTGGTCGGCAAAACACAGCGCACTGCACTGTGTAACTTAATAGTACCAACGGGTTATACATAACATTACCAATTTATGAGTATGTTTTGAGATGGATCAGGAGCACAGAGTAAGAAAACTTTTACTCAAGCCGTACAGCTCGAACTCACCACCCTTGGAAACCTAATTAGCGAGCTTGGCTAGTTTGCTAAGTGTATCAATCATTGATCCAGTAGTTGGGAAGTAGTAAGCAAGTTAGTCGGTTCTTATTTCACTCCAAAGTCTGCGACTCTGTTCACGAAAGGGACTACCTCGAGGGATTCTGGAAAGTGGGGTTGCCCGGCTTGATAAACATTTTCTTTAGCGAAATGCGAAACCCGAGCGTTCGGAGAACGCTAACAAGAGACAGAGATTTTGGCGGCTTTAGAAAGCAGCGCGTTGACCCAAAAAGGGTACGCGGTTGCGGCCGCAGCTTCTTTGCACTTAGGTTGTGTGGGTACGAAACCCTTGCCAAACACACATCCTTAAACATCGTATTCCCCACAACAACCTCACCTTTCTGCGGTGCCTAAGAATATCCATTATCTGCCTACTAAGTAACTCGATTTCACCCATACAAACTGCACTTTCGCCGGATTTTGCTTGCAATATTGTAAAGGTTACTGCAATAAACCAAAACGGAAATAACACTTCTAAAAACAAGGGCTGATGAGTGAAATAAGCCCTTAAAAGAATAAATTGACGAATTCACGGTGTGCTTGGGCGTGATAGGTGAAGGCAACGTATAATGTATCCATTTTAACAATACTATTAATCTTTATCATTCATTTCGTACTGCCCCAGCAGCCAAGAGTCGTTTGCTATCCCTTAGGGTAGAGGCGCATGGAGGGAGGGACGGATGAGGGAGAGGATGCAGCAGAAGAGATAAGTCAAAGAAACGTAATAAGGGAGTTAAACAAACTGCTGGCGGCGGGGCGCGCACGCCGACGTGTTACGGGGGCTGCTGCCGCTGCCGAGCGCTGCCAGGGCCTTTCACTGGCCGCCGCCGCTGCCGCCGCCGCCGTCGTCGTCGTTTGCTGTATTCGGCCGTGAGTTGGCAAGGCCGCCACGCGACCGCTCGGCGCGTCCCGCGCACGCCTCCCTGCCCCGCGTCCCTCCGCCGCCTTAGCTGGCTCCGGGCATCGCTGATGTGCCGCTGACCAGGTGCTCCGGGAATTTTTGAAACAAGCGAGAGAGCTGAGTCGAATTCAACCGCTGTCTGGAGGGCAATTCTAGCGGCCGGCTGCTCTCATCGGTAGTTTTCCGTGCTTTCTCCGATCTACACCACGCGAATGCCGGAGCAGTAATGCATAGCAAAAGGCCACGGATCGCACGCGATCTTTCCTTCCCCTTCCTCGTCCTACGCTCACTCCTTACTTACAAGCACACTAACATGCGCTAAACTCACACTGACTGGAGCGTTGTCCCGATGTGGAGAGATGCTTGTTTTAGGAAAACCGGACAGACGTTCGGTTGACGTACCAGAAGTACCAAATAGCCTCCCATCCCGCCCCCGCCCGCCGCTCCACACCACCCTCTCTCCGCACGTCGTCCTGCTCTGCCCCGTCTCCGTCCGTCCCCGCCCCGCCGCTCCCCGCTCCGTTCCCGCCTCACGGCCTCCTCGTCGTTTACCGTGATCGCACGCACTTGGCCTTGCGGTATGCGTGGGATTCAGGCGAAAGCCTTCTGCTAAAAATATACTATTCTGTTTTGGTTGGACTTCGCCGAAGTTGACTTCAAACACCATCCTTGGTTGAGACATCAGGAGACCACGGGGGGATGGTATTTGACACATTTCCATTTAAACTTTGAAATTCCTTTCGTTTTTAGAAAATAACTTTAAAAGTTTTAATTATGAATTTTTTTTATTGTTGAAATTTATGTTCCAGAATCTGTCACGTTCTCATTTTCAGTGCTTGGCCACAACATTTTGTACTTCACCTTTTCGCACTTAACTTAATTTTTCATGTTTGCCTTTGTCCTTCAATGTTTGCTTTTGCCTGTCATACCGCAAGAAAATGATGAAAAAGGTATTCCTTATGTGCATTCGAACGCGTAGTAATCATCCGCCGAATCCTTGTCACCGAAACATATAAATATTTGAAATAAAAATCTCTATGAATCTTCTAATTACGCACAACAAACTACAAAAAAGGTTTAAATGAGTTCTGGAAAATCATTGTACATAATGGGGGGAAAAGTTATTTCTACTTAACTTTTTAAACTGATTTCCCATTAGACTCATTAAGTTTCAGATTTCCCTCGAAATATAATGAATTCGGCGTGAAAATAGGTCACCGGTGAAAACACTTAAGCTCTGATCGCAGCCGTTAATGTAAGGCGACGACTGCCGGGGCCGGTTCTGTTAGGTGAGAGAGAAGGCAGTGGGTGGCGGAGTCACGACAGCGCTTGGTGTCCAGATATTATCCCAACATCTGGCCGGCGGCTCTCCCTTAAGTGACCAACACAATACAGCGAATTGGACTGGCCCACCTGTACCCTGGCCAGCACAATCCTTTGAGAGTGAACGCTTTAAAGGAAATTGTAATGAAAGATTCTGCTTTCCCCTGTTGTTGGAATGTGTCGCAGAAAGCATCTTACCCTCGTACTTTTCTCTTATCATATACATTCTTCACGGAATGAGCCTCCTTCGTCCCTTTGGCATAAGTACCCTAAAGGCCATTATAGAGTAGTCTGAAGCGAACAGGCGCGTTTGTTAGGTTGCTTTGGAACAGTGGTGAACACAACATGGAATTTCACTTTTCCAGTACTTTCCCCTGAAGCTTTCGTTCCTCCCAACGACTACAATTCGTGCATGGAAATAAACCGTGAAGAATTATAACGTTATTTAAGTTTACGAAACTGATAATGTGAAAAGAGAGTGAAACTTGCGGCTCGGAACACACATAAATCGCACGTATATATACGCGCGCGAGCATGCGTGCAGACAAAAAAGACGAGAGTTATAAGCAAGTCGTCTTTCCATTTCACTTTCTTGACTTGATCACAAAGCAGAAAATTATTATGCATGACCAACAAGATTGAAGGGAAAGACTATTTTTCAGATAGCTATCTCCAAAATATACGTATTAAATGCGTGTTCTCATGAGTTAATGAAATTTAAAAGGTATTTCTATTTATTTAAATTGTATAGTTTTTTGAAAATAGTTTGATTTCTCTAAAATGTACTTTTTCACCAAATGTCTTTGCAACGCATGATCAGTTATGGAAAACTTCGTCGTTGCACTTTCATGTTCGTTCTTTAACAGAGGTTGGATCTGATACACACCGGGCAATGGACCCTTTGGTTTGGAACGACTGCCGTGATGTAATTGCTTGAGGTCATATTGTTATACCTTTCCATTTATTCCTTGCCAATTACTACACTTCGTCAAAAGGAGACAGCAGGAATAATGTGTTTTCGATCCATTGGCTAGTACAATCCAGTGAAGACACGCTGGAGTACGTTTATTTGTGTGTTGAATTCGTAATATGGGTAAGATGACTAAATGTTGGGTTCATGGAGCAGATATAATTCACATAAAGAATTTTTGTCCTTTGATTTATTATTCCTTTAAGACATTTTGTTACAAGGAGACTACATGTGTGGTAAATTTTAGAACCACTGGAGCAATATAGCCCCATTTTACATGTATTGTACATTTCAGTTTGCTCTTTGACTCTTTTTTCACTAGTTTCATTTCCAGGATTTTCAGTACAGTCTCTTTCAAACTGATAACACTGCGAACGCTCCTCCATTTGTAACCAATATTGCGATTTCAGTGCGGACTAGCGCGCTGCCTACGCAGTGGAAAGGGGAAAGAGATTAGGAAGTGAGAGACTCGGCGATGCGTCAGGCGTGTTCCGGGCCACGATAACCGCAATCCAGCTCGTTGGGCAAGCCTGGTGCAGTGCGACGACAACGTGCCTCGCATTTGGCAGCAACGTTACCATTAAAAAAAAGGGGGGGGTGGCGTCGCCACCAGTGCGGATAGTCCTTTTGAACACTGTGTATTCCTTATTAAGGCGTAGGAGGAACCAGTATGTTTAGTCTTGTTTGATTAGGGATTCCCAGCGCGTCAAGTGCTGAGGTCATTAGTCCTGTAATTATAGTGCATTTAATCGCGGGGGCGGCGGTGGTGATTCGCCTCCGCTGGTTGGCGAGATCCAGCGCCGGCCTACACGTCACCTTACGGGATTTTCCCCAACCAGGAGATACCTGGTTGGGAAACCCCCCGCCAGGGTTATCTCTCACCAGCGGGGCAAGCTCCAGCCGGGATAAGCTCTAAGCTCCCTGCACAGTTTGTTTAGAATCCCCTGGCCTGACGCAACCCCTTGGAGCGTTCGGCTGAGTGCGTGGGCGCGTGCGTGTTTGTGTGCCTGCAGGTGTACACGCGGCACGCGAGCGGCGTGCGCGGCTACGCGGAGGCGTTTGTGGCGGCCTTCGACAAGCACTGGAACCTGGCGCTGGAGGACGTGCGCGAGGTGTGGGTGCGTCGCCGTCGACCTCCCGTGCCGCCGCTCGGTAAGGCCACCCCCCAACCCCCACCCCACCACTTCCTCTCCAGCCTGAAGCGCCTCCGGCTTTGGGTGTGGCGCTGGCGACCCGGGAAATCCCTGAACCTTCCTGTGTGATGCTCAATTGACTGATTTATGAGTAACTCTGTAAAAAACATGCTCGCCGAGGCGGACATCATGAGAAGAAATAAGAGCAAGCTGTCCAATCACCCCTCTAGTTGGCCTGGGTGCTTCACAATCGGTACCAAGTGTTAGGGAGGGACCCATGTCCTCTGGGAGATTGTAGAGTTTATGGATATGGAAGATCATCCCGTTCCCCAAGCTTTGAAATGACTTTTCGATGATCTCGGGGTTTCACAGTCTCTGCGAAACATAACGCGCTTGTTTCTTTATGCAAGGTATCTCAGAATAAATGTTACAAATTTCTATGTAATTAGAGAATTTATCAGAATCATCAATGAAGATGTAAGATATTTCCTATACAGCGATTCCACATGTGACTTTTCCCCCGATTACTAGGCAACTCATGACGCATTGGTGTTTAAGAGGAACGTTCGCAATCAAATAATTTCGTGTCCCTGAGTCAGAGATATTTCGAGGCGACGTTCGAGAAGCCGCACCTATTGCCGAGTAATGCATCACGCACGGTGGATTTTATTCTCTGGAGAGCGGGGGGCGGCGGCAGGCGCCACGGGGTAGGCGTGAAGACGCGGGAGTGTCGGGCACTCACCCAGGAAGCGGCGCCGAGAGTCGAACCCGGAACCCGCAGCGCGGCCGCGGTCGCCGGAGAAAGTGGCGGCCCCGGGCGTCGAGCGGAGACGCCAGCGAGGGAAAGGAAGGGGCAGGGCGAGGCGGGCAACTACCGTGCTGCGCGCGCCGCTTGTGCAGGTTGCGACCACAAGCGGCTGACGGGGATTTTGCTTTGCGAGATCAGCGGCTGCGAGAAGTGCATTCTGAGCGTACGCGAAGGAGGAGACTTACGCCTTTATAGCTTCTTCATTCTCGAGTAGAAGTATCATGGTGGATAACCTTTACCTTTCGTTGTGTAAGAGATCGTAGGGTGATTATCACTAGTGAAGTATGACGAGATGAATGGTTCAGAACGGCAAACTGTCTTTAAGTCAAAATTCATTGTAATAAAATTGCAGTGTTATTATTCAAAATTTATTATTTTAGTAACAGATTTATTGTTGCACATCGAAATGGGAGTTTAGTTCCGTCACAGATCGTCGTGGCGCACAACAAAAGACCAGCGAATCGTGTCAGCGTCGGCGTCTCTCCCGTTGCCAAGTTCTTTGTGTCTGGAATTAGGTGCGACAAGAGAGGTCGACGCGGTGCCGCCGGTAATTTAAATTTTCCAGCGGGGAACGAGCGTGGCCGCGCGGCGAATTACGAGATTCTATATCGGATAGCGCGTAATGGAGTTATTGATTCCCCTTCGTACACCACTCCATTCGAGGCGTGTGTTGCTGCTGTGGTTTTCTTGAGCGGTCACGTCTGGCTGGCGTGGTCTATCTCCCGACTTCCACGTCGCGTGCACGCGTTGTATTCGCTCAAGGCGCGGAGAGGTGACGTTGGATACGTGTGATGTGAGGCACCTCTAACCGCAGCGGGACAGTGGACTTTGATAACTCACCCCCTCCCCGTGGTATGCGGAAGGGCGGGCGATATAGTTTCGCTGGGAGATGTAAGAGTGTACTTGACGTCGCAGGAATGGTTGTGTGCTTTGAATTTCATGTGCGGAGTTCGGGGAAAAGATAACTCTCCAAATACACTTTAATTACGTACACGTTTGCCCACAGTTTTTACTTTATAGTTTTCGTGTTCTACGTTCAATTCCTATCTTTTTTGTGTATGTTTTTTCAGCCCGATTGTTGAGATTATTGTGGGATCGATTAATTTTCTTCAATCCGAACTCAAGAGCTGAAGAATTCCTTCGAATCTCTTCCAAACCATAATGTTTTGCAATTGTGTATTTAATATTTGCAATGAATGTAGGTAGTTCTGCAGAAAAAGGAAACGTATCAAGATACAACAGTATTGGTGCAATCATTCTCTTCTAGAAAAATTATGTTTTACTGTTATTGAATCAGATAATGTATCCAGTAGGTTGCGGAATGTAGCAAGTTAAGGCTGTAACATATCACTTAACTACGTTGTAGACATGAATGTGTTGAGAAAACAAGTCCCATATTTTGAAATGTAATAAAAAAATATTAAGTAAAGTCTCAAAAAATTGGCTTGACGAAAAAAGAAGCGTAGTGTGGTAAAAAAATATATCCCATTTAATCTAATGGTTACATCTTATATCCCGTCTCTTATTTAGCTCCCACCTATTTCTATTTATTTGCATTTTTTTCTTTCCTTTTTCTGTGGATGTCAGCTGTAATGGTATTCCGCATTTCCTACGCCATCCGGATAATTACTAACCCAAGGGTGAGAAGGAGGGATCAGCCCATAAACCGACCAGAAGGATGAGAATGGGGAGAAGATGGGCAAGGACGATTTGCGCGCAGTCATTGGTCCATTGTTAATATATCATTCCTGTATTCGCCTGTAATCGATAAGATGGATGCACTGGAACAAAATGTCAGCCGGCCTGAATATTTTCTCACCAAATGCAGCGATCGACCTGGAAAGCTTATTCAATTGGTGTCGAAAATATACCTCTGTGGGAACTGTGATGTAGGGCTCCATGTCTACGAATCTTCAGTTATGGACATGCAACTAATCGAATTCAGTTGTACCCGGTTTGTCTTCTCCTCTTTATTATTATTTTGCGTTGTGATTGCTTTTGGGCCACGCATGGCGCGACTGGCCATTCCCAGCAGACGGGCCACAAACCCGTGTCACTTAGTTGCCCCATCTCTCACGCGGTGCCTCTTGCCCCCTTCTCAACCTGTTGCCTCGTCCTCTTTCGTCTCCGTCACCCCTTGCCGTCCCGAAGCTGTCGCGCCGCCGCTCACCTATATTCCCTCCGCCCGTCCATCCCGCCCCGTCCATCCCGCTTAAAGAATAGCTGGGAATAGCACAGGTGCAGTGGCCGCCTTCCCTCGCCTGCCTCCTTGCGGTCGTTCACACTCATCCGCGGCGAGTCTGCTCTGCCCCTCGCTTCCGCATTCGCTTCTCGCCGCCGCCGCCTCACCCTCCCCCTCCCCCTCCCGCCGCGCGAGCGGGATGCCTCACGCTGATACGGAGCGGCGCTATCGCCGCTTTCTCGCCGTGGCCGGTATTTGCCCATGATACTTCGTTCTGATAGCGTAGCATGTTCGTCCGAAAAGTGGTGCCATTGGCGATTCCTGGGACCAGAGAGACGATTATTGACAGCGACCCAATAGCTCTTCCAAATCCTATGCGTTCTCGAGTATGAAACTGGCACAATTATTACAACCTAAAATTAATTATTTAAAACAATCAATTTGAAACCGGTATTTCTTCACGATATTCCATTTGATAGTCATCGTGGCCTGAGAAGTTATGGCTGCTTTGAATCTGAGAAAAGAGTCTATAGTAATTGACAGATCTCTGCATAGTTACTCGAATATTTTGTTTTCAACATATGTATTCGTCACTGGCAAAACGTATCAGAACCTACGCTATTGTTGAAGATGAACGAGGTCGAATTAACAATGTTGATCCGGGATTGCGTTCTGTTAACATTTGTGCATAGCATTATTGTTGCATGGCTGGCAGTTCGAGCACCGACACGTTCTTTCTAAGCCGTAATAAAGAAATATATTGTTTCACCTAGTTGAAAATCAAACATGTAAGGCGATCCGTGGAATGGAAAATTAAGACTCGTGTTTTCCATTTTCATTGTATACATCAACGTCCACCATCTCTCATCAATTTTTCAACGGTTTTATGTAAAGAACATTGACGATTTTTTCCAATTGCACTTTTCATTCCTACAAGATACCATTACTTTTCGTCAGCATTGGTTCTTTCGGAGGCTGATACGAAGTCTTATATTCGGAGGTTCTGTTTTTGGACGATGGTTATCGCTTAAGCAACGCGCAAATATGCCTTCCGCGTTCACGCCATTATCTGCGAAATGCTCTCTCTCTCTCTCTCTCTCTCTCTCTCTGCTGGTGTTGGGGTCGCCTGCCTTCCTTTTGCGGGTGATGGACACAATCGTTTTTTATCGCCTCGAGCCCGATAATCTCGTTGACGTAATAGCTCTCGTATTCGTTTTTTTAGCGGCTTAACGGCAGCTGGGGATGCGGCGATGCGTCAAGTTAGAGTTGAAGAGACAGTTGACAGAATGTGTATTTAATGTTGCGTATGGTAAGTTTGTGCTTTGCTTCAGCAGAACTGAAGAAGAAAGAGGTTAATCTGAAAAGGTTTTTCAGTCAAAATTAATAATTTAACGAACTATTTCGATAACGATAGAAGCATACTCCTATTCCTTTTAAGAATTTTTGTTTTGGTCTAAAAATAAATACAATGCAAATTGTTCAACTTATCGTGCGTAAACCGTGACAAGATTACGCATTCGTTAGATTAGTTCCTCTAAAGCACGTAAAATATTAGTTTTGAAATGTAATTTCAATTCACATTTTTGTTATCGTGGGAGTTCTTTCCCTTGCAAATTTGTTCATCAGGGCAGAAATATTGCATGTAATGTCGGATATTCTCGCGGTTAAAGAAAGTTGATGGAAAGGAAGTCCTGTCGAGTGCATATGTCGGTTTCCTGCCAGTGAAGGTCGCGAGGCAACTTTTCTCCAGCGCGAAAGCTGTTTCCTAATACGAAGCGAGCATACGATCAAGTGCATGCGTGAAGTCAGTGGATCCGTATTGGCAGTGAATAATCAACATTGTCATTACATTGCTCTAAATAACATTCTAAAGTACGAAATTAAAAGAAAAAACAGGGGGAAATAAACTTCCCGTGAAGATGATTGGACAAACCTAGCCATTCATTATAAATATCAGATTAGTTAAATGACACTCTAACTGCGATCTCTTGAGGAGAAAAGCCATGGCTCCATGAAGGAGGAGAGATATATTTACGAGTCTGGGTGATGGGAAGCGGGGTGGCCGGGGCTAGACGAGGTGGTTTCGAGCGAGTTGGACAGGGCTACAAGGGTTGGAGCGTGATGGGGAGGGACACGCTGGGGCGAGGCGTGTTGGGGCGTGTGCGCGGCGTCGGCTCGACGGCGCGTGGTGCCGAGGGTGAAGGACCGCTGCGCGGCGCGCGACCTCCGGACCGCGCGCTCGCCGCCGGGAGATACCGCGACCTCGCCTCCTCAACTCCAGCCTTACTATGTATAAATATAACTGGAGCGCGCCGCGCCGCGCCTCGCCTCGCCTCGCTCGCTCTCCCGCCGCCTGTGTCATCATCGGCGAATGTGGGGCACGGGCCGAAAAGGCGGCGGCGGCGGCGCCGCGACGGGACGGGACGGGCGTCTGCGTCAGTCATTGGCCGAAAACATCGGCGACTGAGGTCAGGGCGCGAGACGTCTCACCCCGCCCCCTCGCCCTCCCGCCACGCAGCCCGCGCCTGATCTGAGGCAACTCGCGCCGGTCGGTGACTACTGTCAGGGGGTGCGTACTGATATATGGGGTTAATATTCAAAAGAGGAATAACTCTCATAGTTGCACAGGAATTAATATTTGTTCCTAAGATGCAGCGCTTACAGATCGGAAATCTACCAAAGACCTCTGGGACGAAGAGTCATTGACCATGCGTCGCTTGCTCATGTGAATGGGCGAAAGGGCAAATGGGACGAAAACATTGCAAATCGTGTTTAATCTGCGAGACAGTTGCCCAAGGACTGATCACACAGGATAACTTTCCGGTCGTTCGCAAAATGTTATCAATACAATTTGAAAACAAGAAGACCACTCGATTATACCACACAGCTTCTATCGTTATTTTTCGCAAGAAAAATAGTAGATGGGTATGGTCTTCTAATCATATTGATGAATTATCTGCTCATCATAGAACCATTATTTATTAGTCTTTGAAACCATGAAAACAACAGTTTAAGTGCATCGTTGAGCGAAATAGTTAAATGAAGAATAATCTTGGCCTGTAAATAAAGCAAAGAAATGATGCACACACCCATATTTATAATAAAATCCCCTGCCCCTTAAATTTTCCTCTGACTCAAGAGGTTCGACTTATCTGTTTGCGTTTTTTTCGCGAAATGTGCAATGTTTCAGTCTCTCTATGGCATTTTAGGCCCTTGGGGCACGCCTCGCCCGGCAGTCCATAATAGGGCCTGCGCTTCGTCTGCCTCCGCCCAGGCCGCGGCGCTCGGCGGCCGGGCCTCGACCCCGCTAGACGATTCGCCACGCTGCGCCACACCACGTCCCGCCACAACACGTCCCGCCGCGCCGCGCCGTTCCTTCCTCGCCGCTGCGTCGGGCTGATCTGATCCGGTCCGCGTGCGCCCCGTCCGGATTCGGTACATCGCGTCCTGCTTCCTCCCCCTCCCCCCACCGAGAGGCACGTTCGATTGTGAGCTACAGTTCCTTTCTGTACACTTATGAAATAGAATGGTGATTCGCCCGGGTTTTCACCCAGCACTGACGCGGCGAACACATTTCATTTCGTGAGGTTTGACACTACAACTCGGGGAAGATTGGTTGACGTCGCAGCAAATGTGGTATTGGGGCACGCGTCCAAACTATTGTCCGATTAAATTGAGAAAGTGATTGGCACTTAAGACATCGGGGCATTTTCTACGCCTATTCACAGTCTGCGGTAGTGGATATGGGGCGTGTACTGGTTGTTTTGTGTCTGTTTTGATGATATATTCTTTAATATAGTGCAACGGGATAAACGTTCTCTGCGACATGTAATTACTTGTTTGTTTTGTTTTTATGAAGTCACTGCACTTTCAAACTCTTGGGTTAATTAGTTAAATATATTAACCTAAAGTAATAATTTGTTATTCTCAATAGTGCATGCAGAAATAATGTACCACACGATGTAAACTCTTAAACCAAG